AAACCCTAAACCCTAGTGAACCCTAAACCCTAGACGATACATCGCAGACCCTAGACCCTAAACCCTAGAAATCCTCTAAACCCGAATATATACTACTAAACCCTAGAAAACACTAACAAACCCTAATAAACCCTAGTAAACCCTAAACCCTAATAAACCCTAATAAACCCTAATAAACCCTAATTAGCTTTAATAAACCCCCAAAACCCCTCCTAAACCCCAACGAAGGGGTATATGACAAGGGTTTGAAATGAGGGTTTAGGATTAGGGTTTAAGATTAGGGTTTAGGGTTTATGAGGGTTTAGGGTTTACTCATCGAAATTAAATAGATCACCATCCTGTATTTGTGTTTGTACGTCTGTTGCTTCTGCTCGGATAGCAACAAAAGGAGAAACGGGTCTGTCTTTATAAATATCTGTTTGTGCTGCTGCTGCTGCTGCTGCTGCTGCTGCTGATAGCTGCACTATGTGTGTGTCTGTCTGCAGCGCTACTTCTTTCCCTAGTTTCATCCTGCTGCTGCTGCTGCTGCTGCTGCTGCTGCTGCTGCTTGCTGCTGCTGCTGCTGCTGCTGCTGCAGCAGAGGAGGGAGCAGAAGAAGAAGGATTAGCAGCAGATGCAGCAGCAGAACTACCGCCAACTGTTCGTGCATGCTGCTGCTGCTGCTGCTGCTGCTGCTGCAGCTGCTGCTGCTGCAGCTGCTGCTGCAGCTGCTGCCGCTGCTGCTGCTGCTGCTGCTGCTGCTGATGCAGGAAAGGAGAAGGGACAGAGGCCCGCTGCGCCCGCAGCAGTTTCTCTCTCATCAGTATAGAGGAGGAAGAAGCATCTGTTGTTTGCTTCTGAACCACACAAACCCTAAACCCTAAACCCTAAACCCTAAACCCTAAACCCTGAAACGTAGAGCAGAATGTCTCAGGCCCACCTCTCGTAAACCCTAGCTTTTCTTTACCTACTGTGAAACCCTAAACCCTAAACCCTAAACACTGCATACGAGGCTGTAAACCCTAAACCCTTATAAACCCTCATAAACCCTCATAAACCCTAAACCCTAAACCCTAAACCCTTGGGGTGTATCCGCACCTGCAGCAGCTTAAAGGGGGCCCCCCTAAACACCCTGCGGTCGCTCATTAGGTTTAGGGGCCTTTCCCTGGCAACAAATATACAAAACCCTAAACCCTAAACCCTAAACCCTAAACCCTAAACCCTCGGTAGAAGCGCTCAACGCACAGCTGTTCTTTCCTACGGTAGACTACATTCTTACGCTCTAGGGTCTAGGGTTTAGGGTCTAGGGTTTAGGGTTTAGGGTTTAGGGTTTANGGTTTAGGGTTTAGGGTTTAGGGTTTAGGGTTTGGGGTTTAGGCGGATGAGTATAGACCCCCTATTCATCCCTAGCTGGAGGCAGCTAGCCAGCAGCTAGCCAGCAGCTAGCCACCAGCTAGCTGAGGGTTTAGCTTTTGTATAAGGATTCACTCTAAACCCTAAACCCTAAACCCTAAACCCTAGACAGTAAACTATAAACCCTGTGCTCTAAACCCTAAACCCTAATTCGTAAACCCTAATGAATGAAAAAAAGAAACAAAAAGCCCATGTATATATAGGCAGTTTCTCTTCTTTAGGGTTTAGGGTTTAGGGTTTAGGGTTTAGGGTTTAGGGTGTTTTTGTATCTTCTTAGGGCGAGCGATTCGCTCGGCCCCTGCATGCGATCAAACCCTAAACCCTAAACCCTAAACC